AGTAGCCTTTTGTTACTAGTAGCGATGCCCTTTGTTACTAGTAGCTTGTTGTTACTAGTAGCAATGCCCTTTGTTACTAGTAGTTTCTTGTTACTAGTAGCGATGCCCTGCGTTACTAGTAGCTTCTTGTTACTAGTAGCAATGCCTTCTTGTTGCTAGTAGAAATGCCCTTTGTTACTAGTAGCCTTTTGTTACTAGTAGCAATGCCCTTTGTTACTAGTAGTTTGTTGCTCCTAGTGGTAATACATTAATGCCAAGAGCACCTAGTAGCTTCTTATTACTCGTAGCGATGGCCGCAGGGAGCGCCCGAGTTGTGATTCTGCTGCAGCTGTTTCAAACAAACCTATGTAGATTCTGCTGGAAGCGGCCCTTCTAACGGAGCAGGGTGCCACAGTGGCTTTGTTGGAGCACGGGTGTGATGGGTGTGCTGGAGAGATGGCACATTACCAAAGAAAGCTCTGAAATGCTGTAGAGATCGCGCCAGGCAAATGACCATGTCGCACTTTTTTGAGGTAGCGAACTCTGTTGGTTGGAATAGGATTTGGGTCATATGCTGGGCCCTCATCAAAAGGTGCTTGAATGCGGTACTGGCAACCCATAAGGGGTTGATGTCAGGTCTGTGTAGTGTTTGTTTGCGTCACATGCAAAACACTAGCTGAGCGCAAGAAGCACCAACACACCACAGCCATTGCATGGCAAAATCGTGGGGAGAGGTTCGGCACACATGCTGAAGCAATGAGTTTCTTATTCTGTGGTGGGTCCCGCAAGCAGTTCACTAAGGATTTTCCACATACATGCAAGACAAGTACAGGAAGCAACAAAGTCATTTCCAGGCTGCTTCCTCGCTGTAATTGGAAAGGTTTGATACAAATCCCAAACTTTCTGGGAATCGGTTGGCGATCTGTAAACGCCTTGTGACGCTGATGTGACACGATCGCATCAGGCCACTACTTGCGGATTAGCTCTTTTCGATTCACCTGATGTGATTAATGTTGGTGACAGAGTTTGTACAGCGTTCCCTCTGGTTGACGTGCAGCAAGCGGACTTAAGTCAATCAAACCCACACCCTTTTAGAACCAGCTCTCCATTGGTTTCTGCACTCTTTGGGCTTTCTTTTCTGGTTAAACAGCTTGTTTCGGTATCAGCGCTCCATTGCGATTAGCTACCAGGGTTGACTGGGGGATGACTTCTTGGAAACAGCGTTGCCATGGTGATTTGGCATTGCAATGGTGGCAAGGGATGACGATGGCGACTAGGGGATGACTTAGCCAAGTTCCTGTAGAAACCTACTTTTTGGGGCATCAAACAATGGATGGAAGAGAGTGGGGAGTGACCCGGATATCATGAACATAAGGCCTCCAACCTAATAATTAGCGGTGGCCTCCACATCGGACACTTTCAAGAACTCAAAGAAACTTGTAGAAACTACCCAGGCCATGATGAAAGCTGCGCGTGAACGATTGGGCCTGTCACTGGCCGTGTCTACAGCCCGCGCCCAGATTTGTGCGGGAATGAGTTTGTGCAGCTAGTAGGTTGGAGGCCATCGCTATTAGGGTACAGTAGGAACAAGTGCATCGCTACTAGTAACAAGTGCCTTACTACTAGTAACAAGAAGCTACTAGTAACAAGTGCATCGCTACTAGTGGTCAGTGATTTGCAGATTGGCGCTAAGGGCACAACATCGGACCCAAATGCCATTAGAGTAGAGCACCAAAAAAAGATTCAGGCGAGGACCGACTTGAGCATCCTTGTTACTACTAGCGTGGCACTTGTTACTACTAGCGTCCTTGTTACTACTAGTAAGGCACTTGTTACTAGAAGCGATGCACTTGTTCCTAGTAGCTTCTTGTTACTACTAGTAAGGCACCTGTATGTGTCACAAAAGTGCCTTGATCAGAGTGCACACTTTTTGTGTTGCACGTTGATTTTCTATGAGGCGACCACTGAAGAAGACGTTGCCAGAAGTAGCCTCGATGCAGTGGTGTGTGGTGGAGATGGAAGAATGCAATTGAATGTGGATTGAAGATCGTTTTTGTTTAAAAAAGCAAACTACATCTTTGATTAGAACAAATTGGCCTCACTGAAGGGAGAAAAGAAGCGAAACTAAGGCCAAGGACGTTGCCTAAATATGACAAACCACCATTCTTTTTCATCTCTTTGCTGCACCCGGTGTGATTTATTTTTTGCTGCTTTCCTTCGTTCCCCTTTCCCTTCCTTTTTTTTGGTGTGCTCTTTTCTGTTCTCAGAATGGCCCTCCTGCTCTAAGGATACAAACTTGGCGGCATGGTGTTCTTGGCATGTCTTGGATACAAAGGGATTGTTCCCCCTTTCAGTTGTACAAACATATCGTTTTTTTTTTTGCCTTTTGTTTCTGTTGAGAGAGAAAGAGAGAGAAAGACCTTTTGACCTTTTTTGTCCAGAGGTTAGAGGCCATTGCTAGCAGTTGGAGGCCATCGCTAGTAGGTTGGAGGCCATCGCTATTAAATTAGGTTGGAGGCCATCACTATATAGTAGGTTGGAGGCCATCGCTATTAGGTTGGAGGCCATCGCTCTTAGGGTGGAGGCCATCACTAGTAGGT